TGTCTCTTATGTGCCAACCCCAAATGTTGTGGTACTGCTTGCATTGGTTACGATGCCGGCAAAACGTCTGGGAATGTACCACGTTTACGGTCCTACTCTGGAAACGATGATGCATAAAATGGACTCCGGACTAGGTGGGTTTCTTTAAGTCTTCCTATCAATATGACCGAGTTGCGAACACAAGGTCAAACAACTTGTATTCAACGAAAGGAGACTGCGACCACACAAAAGGCCACACCATCTTGGTTTTTATACCTTCGCTTATGAGACTAAGTCTAATGATAGTTTACTACAATCTTCTAAAAATTACTAACTTATTTTAAGGGACTTAGCATATTTCTTATTATAAAATATTCAAGGATAGTAAAGAAAATCCCTATTTTAAACTTGGATGTCGAAAAATAACTTAAATAATATATAAGTTTTGTTTTTAAAAACATTATTTACGACTACCTTTATCAATCTACTTTAGGACTGATTGTCTGAAATAAACCAGATATACTTCTGAACATTGTAATTGTTGGCTTGCCTTAAATTTAAAATCTGATCTTTGACATGAAAGTGTTCGCAGCCGTAGAGTGATGTGGTGTATTATCAACACCACTATACTCACGATCAGATATTAGATCTTGCTAAGGGTGCAGTTAAGACCTAGTTACGGGCTAACCTGTAGCGCACCGAGTAGAATAGTATTTTGGGAGGTCAGTATCAGTAAAATTCTATTGTATCTTGATGGCAAATAATCTCATTGTAAGAAAAGTAAGGACCAGTACTGTTCTCGCTTTAAGCAATCTAGAGTGATAAAACTCTTCTTTAAGAATTTATTATCATATTAATTTATTGTGCACATTTTAAAAACCATATATTTTACTAACGACAATCCGGAAGTGCATAGATTCGAATTTACAAATACTTCAGTTTCTTCGTGGTATATAGTTGTGGAACTGAAATTTATTCAGAGCTAGCTAGCCACGTGCATTGCAACGAAATTCATGGGCCTCAAAGTATTGTACTAAAATAACACATTATTTTTTTATTCTGATAATATTTTGGATGCGTACGTTCCTTGTTATATTCTTGTTTTTAACTCTGTTATATCTCATCTTTTAAATTCATGACGTAAGTAAAGCAATCTAGAATCTCGAAAATTTACTCAAATATATTATATGATTTTTTGGATCAATCAAAGGTAGACATTTTCTTATCAAAAAATAAAAAATCTATTTTTTTGGAAAATTAAGCCATTTTTCTCATAGATTTTAATTTTAAATTATATTTCATGGCTATTTAAATCTATAAATAATAGCATTTATCATATATGTATATAGTTCTTTCTTGACCTATAGTAATCCTGATATATCTCAAGTACATTAAAAGAATATTTATGTTAGTTAAAATTAAATTACATAGCTATAATACATACAGAAATCGTTTTTCTTCTAATTACGACTGCTCATAAAACTTGGTCGCGACATTTGGACTCGTAGTATATAGAGTAATGTGCCAAAATCGACTTAATATTTCTATATAACTTGTATATTTAAGACGACATAAACGATATTATATTACCCCAACATGTCATCACAGGAAATAAGAGCATATTACACATTTCCAAGTGTGGAATAGCATATGCAATTTTGATGGCAAAATGTAATATTCTGCACTCTGCGGTTACTTTTGTTTTGCATAAAAATAGAAGTAATGAGAATAATAAAATTGACACAACAGGAATAAAAAAAGTAGAAGCTTAGATAAATGTAAGAAATTATTTGGCGCCTGAAAAGAATTCAAAAATCAAAAACAAACTTAGATATGAAGACCAAAATGGTGTGGACTTTTGTGTGGTCGCTGTCTCCTTTCGTTGTATAGAAGTTGTTTGACCTTGTTTTTGCAACTAGGTCATAATGGTAGGAAGACTGATAGAAACGCACCTTGTCCTGAGTCCATTGTATGCATAATT